TTTTGTTTATTATGTTATTTTAACATCAATTTTTCATATAGGTATATGCTTTGATTAAATAAATAAATAAACGTTTGAATCATTTTTTTTGATACTTTTGAATAGGCTTTTACTAATATATCTTTTCTGACAAATTCTGACGAGGGCTAGTTTAGGTTAGGTGACGAATTGTGTAACATACATTTCTTTTCTAAAAAATTGACTAGTTTTAATTAAAATTAATAAAGAATCTCAGAATGCCATAATTAAAGAAATATTATTGGTAGTGAGATTACTGATCGATGCTTAGGGTTCTACTGCCTGTGAAATAATGCAAACAATATACTGACAATTAATTTTAAACGATTGACAATACCAGTTGCCCGCAACTAGTTGTTTTCATGTTACGTCACAGTTAAATAATATTGCATAAATGGAATGTCCATAATAAATATTATGTCCTTGTTTTATAAATATATAAAAAAAAAACAATAATTGTACGATATTTTATTTAAGTTGCACCTTACCACGTTACCCCAGTGGGAGGACCTTTTAAAACTTTAAAATTATGAAATTAGGTAGGTTAGTTTTTTTAATATTTGTATTAAAAATATAAACTTTAATGAATAATATCTAATAGGTTAATTACCTATATAAATAATTCAATACAAAAACACAGTTTCATATTATAATAAAATAAAATCAAAAGGATAGACATCTATACATTTATCTAACCTAACCTAGTATTCTTCTTCTTTTCCTTTATAATCATCCTAACTATTTATGGTCGGCCACTCTAGCTCTAAACTTCCACTTGTCCCAATTCCCTACATAGTTACCCCATACAAACCCTGTCCTTATATTATTCCCAATTGCACCCAATCAACTCTTTAGTTTTCCTCTTAAGTTATTATCATTACCATTCTTCATTCAAACACTCCTATTTGAACCTTCATACATATTCTCTATAAAACTTATATAATTTTGGAACTTCTTATCTCAAAATCTCTCTTGGAACTCTTGTCATTAGCCTTCTCTATATCTATAAAAGCCATATATAAGTTAAGGTAAGTTAATCTGTTTCACATAAAACACCAGTTCCATATTAATTTCCCTGCCATAAAACCAAACTGGTTCTTAGATATTATTAATGCCTCATTTTTTTCCAAATCTTTATTCTTCTATAATTTTCAAACTTTTATATATCTCCATTCTCTTTAAATATAGATATTAGAAAATTATTCCTCCACTCGTCTGGAATTTACTCTTTTACTAGCACTTTATAAAGAATCTTTTGACTAAACTTTACATAACTCCCCTAACATTTTCCATACTTTCACTGGTACTCTATTAGGACCTTATGATTTTTTTCTTTTTCATTGCTTTCACAGTCCACCACACTTTCTCCTCTCTAATTAAACCTACCAGATCTTTGTTCCACAAAACACTCTGTAACGTCTCTTTTGGATATTGCTCATTTAATAATTTCTTAAAATACTCTTTTTATCTCTTTTTTTCATTCTTATCATTCATTATATGCATCATATATTATGAAAATCCATGGACGGTTTTCTCTAACCTTAGCTTTTCATACAACTCATTATAGTTCTTCAATTTCATTTTACTTATCTTCTTTACAAAATTTTATATTTTCCTGGCAGTAAAGCCAGAGGGCAGCCACAAAGACCATGGAAGGACAAACATATTATTATGCCTTCCCCAGTAAAATATAGATAAAATCTAATAAATAACTGACAAAAATATATTTTCTAAAATTGTACTGCCATAAAACTTTTATTACAACGATCATAGACCTTTAAGAATACATTTGAAAGGACTAATTGAATACTTATGGTGTATTTATATACAATAATAATAAAAAAAGAAAAAAACATGCGAGGAGTCTCACTCCCAGTAACAAATATTTAAATTAATTTTATAAATTATTTTTTCACAAATGAAAATATTTAATATTCAAATTCCATCCATTTCATTATTTCATAACATAACTGATACCTATTAATTTCAAAAACCAGTCGAAATTGTTTATAATTCTGCGACATTATCATTATTTACTACACAAATTACGTGTTTCTATGGCAACACTGTATATCTACAGAAATTTAATATTATTTTATTTTTACTTTTAAGTTATGTTTGCCCCAAGGATGTGCTTAAATGAGAGCTTGAAATGAATGTCAATACAATTCTAGTTCACATTTCCCAAGGAAAAAAGTTATTGCTATTCACAAATCATATAAACATACTACATAAGTATTTTAAAAAATTATGTATTCAATACATTTTTTATTTTCTACTGGAGCACTGGTGGGAAAAAAACAGATAGAGAATGTAAGCCCTTCTCTTACATATGTATTTTGGGTGAAAGATAAGTCTCAGAAAATAAAGATGGTGTTACTATAGATAGTTAGGTACACCATCTATATACCTCTCCCATATGAAAAATATGCCTCCTGGTCTGCAACCATAGTTTAAATTTTTTTTTCTGTTTGCTATAACTATGAACATTCTCATCTTAGCACCAAGTTGTCTTGCTATCTGATATACTAAGTCTACAGGAGTAGGTATATAAATTGCCTTGCCAGAGAAGCATACTACGTTTGGAGAAGTAGATATATAAAGACTATTTTTGAAATTCTTTTATTAGGTAAACTATTTATGATAAAAACACAAAAAAATATACATACTTTTAATACTAATGTTTTTTTTTTTTCTTCTTTTGGATCATTTAACTTCAAAAAACCATACATACGACTACAAAAATAAATAAAAATACATTAGTTAGGTACCTTGTCCTTATTACAAAGTATGACAATAGTATGGTAGTTATAAAATTTCAGCTTGTGACATCAGTCTATGGTTGAGTAGTACCAATATAAGTATAACTTTAAAAAATATAAAAATCTATAAGTAGTAAATTGTGTTTATAGGTGATCACATGTTTAAAACTAAAAAATTTAACGTGTTCTGAATATTCTTTCCAATTCTAATAAGTAAGTATTATGTTAATCTTTAGAAATTCGAATTGTTTCAGTGTATTAGTGGTATTAAAATTTCAACTTAAAATAAATAAATATAATAATTTATAACTATTTGTAGTCATTTGTCATTGGTGTACTTGGCTAATTTATAATTACAACAACGACTAATAGGTGCATGGGTATGTATATTCTAATTATCATTTTAGTGTATTAAATTATTTTATTATTGTAACTTTTTTCATAATAGGTACCTCAACAAAGTAGGTTTAAGTTAAATACCTATTGGGATGGGATCTATTTATGTATAAATATCAATATCATATTATATATTTTATATCAGGTACACATTGTATTGATATATGTATGATTAAGAGTGGAACTTAAGATGAAAATTGCATTAATAACTCATATTTTTGTAAGAAACCTATAGAAAATACATACATATCAGAAGTACCTAGATAACTTGTGTGTTTAATTAGGTGCCAATTCATTTAAATAAATTTAATTTAACTACCTATCTAGGTTTATTTAAGTAGTTACTTAGTTTTTAATGATCTAAAAAATAGTTTCCAATAAAAAAAAAAATCAATGTAAGTAATTATTCAACAATTGTCATGGTTTGCTCAGAATTTAAAAATATATATGAATATCTCGGTAAGACAAAAAAATGTAATAGACAAAAGGTATTTGATAGAATTAATAATTAGAAATATATAAAATAGTATAAAATTTAAAGGTAAACAAATAGGTATTAACTGAGTAAAAATTATAATCAAATATTATAGTCACAAAAACCTTGTGTAGGTACACAGAGTTACAATAAAATTGAAAATACCTACTGAAAAATAAGTAATATTTTTCTACTAATTCATTATAGTATTGTAAACAACATAAATAAAATAAAACACAATATGCCTAATTAGTAGTTGAGGTTATAAACAGTTAAGTAGTAGTTAGCTATATGATATTATGTTATTACCTGTCCAAATCTGACAACATTTGCAACTCTTGATTAGTTAAATTTATTTCACCGTATTCTTCCATAATAAAAATAAAAATAAATAGTTAAAAATTTATAATATTAGTATAACGATTAATATAAGTAAAGATTATATTATAAGAATAAATAAATTTTAATTTACAAAACAATTAATAAAATATTTATAAAAATTACAACACTTTTAAAGTACAGTAAGAAAAATACATATTGCAATATAAAAATATATTTAATAATAGGTCGGTGACCTATTAAAATATACTATTTACACTTAAAACAAGATGGGTACATGACGGAATAAAAATCATAAAAAAGTAGAACAGTTCTATAATCAAACAAAAAACCAGTCACGTAATATTTTGTCCAGTGAATAGACGGAAATTGATAACAAACATCGGAGTTGTGTTATGGTATTTTAGGTTATAGTTGATATTAACGTGGCTTGTTTAATGAACATTTATGCGGTTACCAAGGTCAATGGTGAATGCAGAGATCATATTATTGTACACTGTGCAATGTACAGATGGTATTTCCGACGTACAGTCATCCAAACAAACGATGACACATGCATAGGGTCATTCAACTTTACAGGTTAATAGGTTGATAATCAACCTTGTTGGTAGACGCACCGGTGCAGTCTATCCCTACATATTCCATATTTTGTTATAGAAGCTCTCTAGATGCACTAATTTCTATAAAATAATAAAACATTACGAATCACTGTAATAACATGATTAATATACTTTAGTACTATTAGTACTTATTCTGATAGAATAGAAGTACCTAATTGATTATTATAGTATTATCTTTAATCTTGAATAAGAGTGATATTTTTTAAGATGTTGTCTCCAGACTATAGATTTTCTGAAAAAAACATGTATTACACTATTACCTATATAATAATTTTTATCGAAATTCAAAATAATTACAATTGGTATAAATAAAATAGATACCTGTCTTATTTTCAACGCAAATATTATGATATCTATTCATACATTTTCCCCTTCTTTATTTCGTGATTAAAGATAGAACCGTGGTTATATAGTGGTTGCTATGGATGTCAAAATTAAATAGGAACCACAACATTACAAAATAGAATATAGTATAATAGGTAGTAGCTGATTAGTAACTGAGATTTTATAATACCGAAACACAATGTGTGTATTATTAAAATAAAAATATTAAGTTTGAAATATGAAAATATTACCTAGGTGTTTTGTATAGGTACTGGAAATACTATCAAACAAAAAACTTAGTAATATGGTAGGTGAACAAATATTGCAACTACTTACATTATAATGTAGATATACTTAAATAAATAAGTACCTAACTATACTAACACGATTTTAAATTTATAATATTTAGTATTTGATAGATTTTCACTGTATACATGTTTAATTTGATTTATAGATCTTATCACGTGTGAAACCAGCGGTTGAACCGAAATTAGAGAAAACTCAACCGTCCAATCATAAAATAACAGCAAAAGATTTCATTGAGAAAAGGGACTACACTGGAGCATTGACGATTTTGAAAGTAAATATTAAAATCATTATCTTTGTTGTATTAAACAAAATACAAGATAGAGGATATGTAAAGGTTCATACCCGTGTAAGAAATGTGTGTGAAATAACGTTAAATTTTGGGGTTGAAGTAGCCAGTAGGTGTGCATCAGTGGTTGGCTTTGAGCCCTTACTTACATGTTTTCAGTTGTAATGAATGAATTATAAGGTGAAGTATATGATGTCTGCAGTTGATATAGTTTTGATAGGAGAAAATCGAAAAGAAGTTAACAACAGGCTTTCGCCCCTTCCCCCATTTTTGAACTGACAGCAGTGGAGGATCTGTTTTTCCCTTTACTTCTCAGCTGCTGTTAACAATAGACTTGAAGAATGGAGAATGGAGAATAACATTTGAAGAATAGGGTAGAAGTAAAACAGAGTATACTGCTGCTCAGTGGAATATACAGGGGGGAGCTTAAGGGCTATATCCCCATATTGTCTTAAAAATACAAAAAAATAACGAGTAATCTATTATCGAAATCCATTTTTTAAGTATCGAGAAAAAACTTGGCGTATTGATTAAAAATTGGCCATTTTTTTAGGATTCGGCTTTTAAATTATCAATTCCCACAGTCAAGTTGGTTAGAGAAGATGAATTTAGTTTTATTCACGATTCTTATTTGCTACATCCCTTATAATTAATAATTCCTGGGCACGCCATTGCTGCTGGTAACAATAGGTTTGATAAATGAAAAGTAGCACTTGAAGGAATGGGTAGAACAGGGATATAATTAAAATTAAAATTTAATTCAATTAAATTTCAATTAAAAAAAAAATGTTGATCACTTCGCACGCTGGAATTCCCATTCAACGTTCAAATACTATAGAGAAATATTTCTGTTAAAAAATTAAGAAACTAAATGTTAATACCAAAACATCTATTCACTGTCAACTTTTTGACATAATCACATTGATATCATGATAGTACTAATGTACTATCTTTCAATTTTTGATTGTTTACTTCATAATCCATGGTAACAATTACCTTTTCGAGGTATTAATTGCTCTCACATCTTAAACAGCCGGACCGATAGAGGCAGCCATTGGTAGTGGTTGCATTCTATATTTTATCAATGGCGCGATTATATAATATTTTATGTGGGCCAGACAAAAATTAGGGCTGCCAAATTATAGTCTGAAATCTGAATTTCTCAAATGACGACCCTGGGATCAAATTATATAGAACATAAGAGGTAAAAAGAGAGCACCTAATAATATAGAGTATGCTGGCGTGTACAACAAGAATACTAAAAACTAGGTTTTTGGATACAATTGAGAATGATATACTACAATGTAAGTATGTGTAGATGATGTGAAGGCTCGAGCTAAGATACTAACAGAAATTTTAGACTAGAGTGGCCGATCCCAAATAGCTGGGATAAATGCTAAGGAGAATAATATTGTATTTTGAACAGTTTTATTTAGATAAATTATGAATGTATTATAGGTACCTATATAGTTTATATCCTATAGATGCCTATACATTAAAAATAAAGGGATAAGAGAGGCAGAATACCTCTTCATTTTTAAAATTATTTAGTATTTAATATTTTAATTTTTCATAAAGGGTATAATACACATGCACGGATGTAGACATTTTAATCTCCAACTAAATTAGTACGCACTTTTTTTCAATTCTGAATTTAAACATTGAACATTTTATAGGAAACTGCTATAAAAAATATATAAAACAACATAAAACATCATATTAACATAAATACTTAATAAATCGTTACTTTAGTTCGATAAAGAAAAATCTAAAGAAGACACCGATTTGGATCAATGGATTGCATACTGTTATTTTCATTTAGCCGATTACAATAACGCTATGTTAATTTACAAAAATCTTAGTGAAAATTCAAAACCAAAACACGTGTTTGTCAATTTAGCTTGTTGCTATTTTTATTTGGGCATGTATCCAGAAGTTGAAGAAGTAATTTATTATAGACAATAGATTATTTGTTAGATATTATAATTAAGTATAATAATACTATTTTTACTTATTATTTAACTATATTAACAAGGCATTAGAGAAATCCGATATTTCTGACGTAAAAATCCGATTGCAATTTCATTTAGCACACAAACAAGGCGATGAAAAGAAGCTTATGGAATTCCATGAACTTTTAGCAGATGTGGTTGAAGACCAATTATCATTAGCAGCTATACATTATCTTAGATCGCATTACCAAGAAGCAATTGAAATTTATAAAAAATTGTTAATAAACAACCGGTAAATACTATTTACTAAATATCAAAAGATAAATCCTATGCTGTAAATATTAATAATATTCCAAACATATTTTATAAGTTAGAATTTATTATTATTTATAACATATTAAAATAATTTAATAATTTTGATGAGTTCCTAACATAATATTTGTGGGTTAATTCCCTGTGTACCTAGGTAGGTACCTATTTTCGTATACATAACTGATTAGTCAAATCATTACCTGTATACAATGTAATTTTAAAATCTGAAAAAAAAAAGATTTGAATTAATTTTGTATATTGTAGTGATGAGAAATAATCGTAAATCTGGATTATTCGAAAATTCGAATTCCGGATTACAAAATCAAGAATCCAGATTTTTCCCATTGATTAACATAACAAAATAGATGTTATTTATTTCAGGTTAACTTTAAATGTTTGTTTCTCTTACATTTTGAATTTATACCCAACCAAAAATGAATACAACTCAATAGACTTGCATACATAAATTTAAATTTTTTGGAAAACCACAGGAAAATAAATGTAAAATAAAGAGAGAAGTTGATTTCAAACAAATTTCACATAAAATTCAATCATATCAAATCGAAACTTTCAATCCTTTAGTTCTTACGTTATACCGTATTTAATGTTAACAATATGAAATATAATTTTAAGTATGGTTAGCTAAACAAATATTTAAATCTATACATATTTAGCAACTAAATAAGCATTATTTTACAGGAATTATTTAGCATTAAATGTTTATATGGCTCTTTGTTATTATAAATTAGACTTTTATGATGTCTCTCAAGAAATTTTAGATTCATATTTAAAAAAATATCCAGATTCTATGATTTTAACTAATTTAAAAGCTTGCAATTTGTACAAATTATATGATGGTAAAGCTGCTGAAGCAGAATTAAAAAATCTTATAGTGAGTTTACAAATATGTATTAATTTATTTTTGTATAATTCAATATTTTAACAGTTCTGTGTTTATTAATTTAAAATACAAGGCTAGAAGACCACCAACATTTAAGTTTTGTGAAGATTTAATTAAACACAATATGGTTGTGTTCCGCGAAGGAGAGGGTGCTTTACAAGTGTTGCCAACCCTTGTTGATATTCTTCCAGAAGCTCGTCTAAATTTAGTAGTCTACTATTTGAAGCAAGGGGAAAATGAAGAAGCATATGAGTTAATTAAAGATTTGGAACCTGCTATCCCCCAGGAATATATTTTGAAAGCTATTGTTAATGTGGTTTTTGGTCAAGATAAAGGAGATGTAAGACAAAACCACCCAAAATTTAAACATTCTTTAATAGATACATTAAAATATACGAACTATATTATTTTTAGACTAAACAGATCGAGAATGGTCAGAGTTTATTCAATATGGTAGGAAGTAGTTCTAGTGAATGTGACACGATACCAGGTCGACAATGCATGGCTTCATCCCTATTTTTAGAAGGGCGGTATGATGAAGTTAGCTTGTATCTTAGTTCAATAAAAAGCTATTTCTCAAGTGATGACAGTTTTAATTTTAATTTTGCTCAGGTTTTCATTTATTATTGTTTGAACTTAGTAACATATTATACTATCAAAAAGATTAAAATTTAAATATTTAATATAGGTTAAATTAGCTTTAGGCGAGTACAAGGAAGCTGAAGAAATGTATTTACAAGTCAAAAATGCCAAAATACGAGAAAACTTTATTTATATAAATCATTTAACGCATTGTTGTAAGTTTAATTTATTGATGAAATGAAATGAAGGGTATATATTTATATATTTGTTAAAGATTATTATTTGTATTTATGTAGGTACTTACCTAATTATTACATAAATAGTTAATAGTAGTAGGTAGGTACCTCATAATTGTGTAAACATTTTTGTTTATAGTTATTATGAATAAAAAGCCACAATCTGCATGGGATTTGTATTTGAAAATGGAAAATTCACACGATTCATTGATGATACTGCAATCAATTGCAAATGATTGTTATAAAACTAATCAATTTTGGCAATCAGCTAAAGCTTTTGATATGCTTGAAAGATTAGATCTATTGCCTGAGTATTGGGAAGGAAAACGTGGTGCTTGTGCTGGCATGTTTCAACAAATTGTTCTTGGCAAGCAACCAAAGTAATGTACCTATTCATTATTTATTTGTTTTTTAACTGATAAAATAAAAACGAGCCGATACTGAGTAGGTATGCCACTGTTGTAAGTAGGTAAGATACATAAATTATTTAACTTATAACTGTCCTCAATGATAAACCACTGCTATCAAAAAACGATTAAAAGTAAAGTTTAGTTTTAATTTTTTCAAATACTTTTATTTGTTCTTAAAACACTTAAAGCAAAAAAAAAAACAATTACATTATTATTTCTGTTGTGTCAAACAATTTATAAACAATACCTACCAAGTAAAAACTAAAAAAACTCAAAAATGTTTTAAACATGTATAATAATTGGGAAAACCATCCATCCTCACCAAAAAAAGGAAAAACCTATAAGCCTTTTTAGGCGTTGCTCAATTTTAATTAAAATCAAAAATTTACTTATTGTTCACCCATTAGATAAAAATTTCTTTCAGAAAAGATGGAAGGTACTCTTGAAATTTCAAGCAAGATTTCTGGTAGAAAAAGTTGAAATTAATTGGAAATGTTAATGCCACCACTGGTGTAATAAATAATTTGTCCGTTTTTTCTATATGTTTTCCAAGTTTTCACAATTATTATAACACTAAATGAAAAATTTAAAAATGAAGCCTTAGACTAATTAGATCCAAAATAAAACAAAAAAAGCTCTCAATATTTATCGATTGGCCCATAATTTCCGGTAGAAAAGTTATTTACAGACAAAAAAAAAAATGAAAAAAAAATGAGCACATATGTTACATGATAGTAAAATCCATACATTCCTCGCTACACTCAGAATCTAAGCATATTTTATAAACCTATACATTATGTATGAATAACATATGTTTATGTATATAAGTATACCTACTATTGAGCTATATATCGTGTTTATGTATAAATTATAAATCATAAATTATCATGGCTGTATAATACACTTATAAATTATTACCTCTATAAAATAATTGATTATACGTGTATAAAATACAATTTTAACTCGCAGAAACATTCAAATTACTTACATATATATAAGAATAATATATTAAATGCATATATAGGTATTTACTTAGATAGGTACCTATGTTACCTATGTTATCTATATAGGTACCTGTACTTTGTTGAATATTTCCTAAATATATGTATATAGTTAGGTTTATAAGTGAATAAGCTTAAAAAATAAAATATGATATTTGTATTTATTTATACAGAGATCAGATAGCTGATGTCATACAGTTATTGAGAAATTCTGCCAATTCACAAGTTGAACAAATTATCAAAATGATGAAGAAATGGGCAAAAAATAATAATGTAATTGTTTAGATTTATTAAAAGGTGTGTATAGTAATATAGGTAGGTACATGTTTAATAGCTATATTTAATTGATATTTCATAATTAAAGCTAACATATAATTTTGTAATAGGCAGTTCATTTTTATTTACTAAAATAGTGAAATTTAAAACTTAATTATTACAAATATGGAATGTTTTTGTGTTTATTATTTTTTTAAGTTAACTATAATTCTCTAAATATTGATACATAAACAATTGTAATTTGTATAAGTTTAGATAGTAAACTTTTTTTTATTTCTGTTTATTAAGTTTTTTTTTACTCTTTATATAATAATTTGTATGAGCCAATTAGCTCATAATTGTTCATCTTTGGTGAAAAAATTTACATTTAGCGGAGGATCTTTTACAATCCCTTTTTTTTTTTTTAGTAACTTACAAGTAGTTTATAAATAATTATGATTTTTCAATAATTCATTTATATATAAAAAAAATACTAAGTTCTTTCAATGGATAATAAGTTTCATAATGTAAATTAGCTGCATTCAAATTGCATGCCAATAAAAGGGACAATGTTGGTCAACGATCGAGTTGTGTGTGAGGTTTATTTCTGACAGAGTCGAGTTGCGTGCTATTAGTTATGTTTTTAATCTATAGATTATTAAACTGTACATAGGTTCAATGATTCATAACTTTTGATGATCAGTCAATAGTTAAGTTTAATTTCTAACACTTAAGACCAAAAAAAATGGATAACATTGTACAGTGAAAAGACTTCATTATTAATGAATAAACATTTTTAAATAATGATATAGAAAGATGAACATGCATAAAAAAATGTGTAAATCTTATTAACTTGAAATTTCAATCATTTGGTCAAAGTAAATATTTAAAATTTATTAAATTTTAAATAGTGAAATCAAAAAATAAGATTATTTCTAGAAGAAAAGTTTTTCACAGAATTTAAAATTAAAAAAAAAAATTACGCACAAACTCAACTCAGTCTCTAAAAAACAGAGGACACGACTCAATATAATTTCCACACACAATTCGAAAATACCATGTAAATCAAATTTTTCATCTGACCATTATCTGGTTCACTACTTGATCATCTTAAATCATTAATAATAATTCTTTCTTGAATTAATAATAGTAAATCAACTTCGAATTTGATGATAGTTACATAATTTTCTAATTTTTAAAATTTGTTCACTAAAAAATTGTATGCACATTAGATTTAAGTTAGTTTTTCAAACATTGGATGTTTGTAGTAGTTAGTATGTTTGTTGTAGTTATTATTTTATTAAAATCTTTTTGATCATGGTGAGTCATTTGTTTATTTGAACTTTGAAACTAAGTATCAATATTTTGAGAGCTTGCTGTAAATTACATATACAATGCATTTATTAACATGCTTGAAGCTGTTGAAAATACCAAATTAAATAATTTATTAAATTTTGAAAAGTTATTAGGTACTTTAAGTAATTAACAAGCATATAATATTGCATTAACAGACCAATATTTAATTTAGTATTTGTTATAATATTGAACTTAATATATTAAGTATTAAGTACATTTAGTCAATATCTAAATGAGATTGAGCCAATTTAATCTTCTTAGTAGCATTAATAAATACATCTAAAATATTAATTAGATTTATGTATAAAGTTTATACTTATTACTATAAATTAAATATACAGTAATTTACTTTCATTTATTTTTAGTAAGTAAATTTATCAACAATATTAAATTTAAATTTTTGATGAATTATAGGTAAATAGACAGAAAAATTACTGGTACTTACCATCAGAATCCTAAACTTTAAAGGTATAATTTATCATAATAGTTAACATGACTAAAAAATTAATAAATAAATACCTAATACTTCTTAAACAAATAACACTAAAACTACTGGTCAACATATTAATATATAATTCATAAATTTATAAAAAGTATATAAATTGTTTTTCATAGATTAACATAGGTTATCAGGTTACTTTTTTACGTCAAATTTAAATCAATATTAATTTTACTATTTTTTATCACAGTGATTTTTTTGAAGTTTTTTACAATGCCAATCACTACTTTTAACTTTTCTTAATATTTTGAAAGCTGTTACACTTGGACCTTGTCGTATGAAGCACTGTACCTTATTAAGTAAAAAGCGCCTATATACTTATTGTAAGAATTACACTCGGCATTACACAACACCTAGTACGTCAATCTGTACTTGTTATATCATGCTAGGTGTTTCATACGATTAAAAATGTTTTCTCAAAATCAAAAAGTTAACTAATTATTATTAAATAGGTACTAACTACAATAAAATATATGGAATAAGTTACATCGGAATAATACATCAATATTAATATTTTTTGTATTAAATTCATCGCGTTATGTGCATCAAGTAATGGCATATAGTTAAATATGTCTATTATTAACTAATAAAATGGTTAGATAAGTAAGTATTAAGTAAAAATGATTCTTACTTCATATTAATCTCCATTTCATCAACTTCAGACTTCAGTTTAAAAAAATAACTTGAAACAACTAATTAGTAGGTAACAACTACTAATCAATACAGTACGAGTGTAAGTCATACGATATGAGAGACACGAGACCGGAGACACGACCAAACAAACGGAATAAATGCTTTTAAGAAAATTGATAAACAAATACATTATTTTTAGTATATTAACATTATTTATAAACATGTGTTTACAATTGATTGGGGAAAAATCCGATCTATAGATAAGATAAAAATACATTTAGCCTAGTATTATTAACTATACATGTATAAAGTTTATGATTACCTTTATATATTCCTTTGAAAAGCAAAACGCAATCTGTTTCATTCCCAAACAGAAGCAAAAAGGAAAGTACTACACGTGAAATATATTTTATCAGGTGGTTTTATGTACCTTCAATAATCATTTTCGTAGTAGGGTGGGCTATTCCTAATCGGTTACTAAATAAGCAGTTCCCGTAGATTGCTTGTGTTGTTATAATCGTAATTAAATTATGCTTATTCAAAATACCTATAAGTAAGTATAGTTGCGTTCTTACTTCATAAATTATTATTATGTTCATTATATTATGCATAATAATGTACTTAGGTAGGTAGGTAGGTATTGTTTATTCTGATAATAAACTAATGAATTAAGGGTAAATAAGTAGGTAATTTGTATAGACCGTATACTACCTTTAGTATAAGATAATAATTTTAGTGTATTTTAGATAAATATAAAATAATCAATATTGAAATTAATTCAAGTAGGTACGTTTTCGAATTGTATTATACCATTCATTATAGAATACCTAGTCTATTCTATAATCAATGATTATACATTTGAATATGTGATGATTGAAAAATAAAGTTAAATAGGTAGGTATGGAAATTATTGATTTGTAAAAAAGATTTCCAGAAGATTTTAATTTTCAGCACGAATTAAGATATACGAGCACTTATCAGTATTAATGAGAACTTTCTTCGTTCTTGGATCGACAGGTAACGCTTAAAGGTGACAGCGGCGATTTTGCACTAATAACATGATATCCATTATCAATAAAATCGTAACATGGAATTTCGAATTTGGGATTTATTTATAATAACACTAATACCCTTTGTCGCCGCTATTAAATACTAGCGCTCTATGTCTATTCGGCTAATAAGAACCGTCGGAATAAATAGTTTGCTGATAAGAAGGTCTCGTCGTCGTGTATTCTGTATATCTCAATTCGTGTTTGGAGATGCGAAACAATCGAAACCGAAGCCCGGCGGAAAGCAAACCCACGAACTACGGACTGCTAACGAAAATCGAAAGACAGACGTCCAACTGGTATCTGATTTTTAAAAGCGCGCGGTCGTTGTGAAAATTTATTTTACGCAGCTTTATAGCCGTGCGGTAACATCGGCGATCTAATAGGTAAACAGTGTCTACACATCGAGCCCTATGAACGCATCCCGACATGAGTGTATGACCATTGCGTCACGTCACTGCCGTACTAATGTATTTTAGACAGGGGCAGCTTTGTTCGAAAAATCTTTGGTTTTATCGTTATTTTGGTATATTATATTATTATTTGAAAAATAATAGGTCGATAATAATACAAATTATTGCCCCCATAGGCGAAATTAGGTGGGTGCGATAGGGTCTTTGGTACCCCCGAAAATACCCGATAAGTCGTTCTCTAGTGTAAACTAAATATTTTATCCGTGTATCTCATAATTAATACGCAGAATAAAATACAAATTACCTACAGACAATGTGCGTGTGTGTATAAAAATAAATGTTGCTTGTTATAAGTTTCGTGTAAAAGATATTGTGGGGGTATTTAGGGGTGATCCTAGAGGGGGTTTGGTGGGAGGTGACATCCCCCTAAAGTCAACAACTGTAATTTCCAGTCAACATATTATAGCTATTCACAAAACCTAACATTTTGACTGCACTCGAATTGAATGGAAGAAAAAAAAATGTATCCGAATAGCGTGCAATCTCTTAGAGAAGTCCGTCCGGATTGCGTGTCGTTTATAATTAATAATAATAAAATAAATAACAATAATACACAAATTGATCGGCATTTTCCTTCTCATTTTTACAGATTTAGGACTGATAGTAGAAACTTAATTGTTATACTGGTGTTAAAAATGTTTTATTTTTAATTTCATATTGTTATTTTAAAATTATTTTACTATTGTAAAGTATTTATTCGTATAATATCGTCAATATATTATGATTTAACGTTTTATATAACTATTTATTATGTGTCAAGTGTTGTGTTTATTTTGTTTTCGGTAACGCCATATATGATAACTTTTCTACATATATTTTTTTATTCATTTCATTATTATGAAATTGCATTATCACTGAATTTATAAATTCTTATTTTTCAAATATTTCTCGAAATTTTTCATTTAAATTAGAAGAACGCGTTTTTACATATATATTGTACACATTGTGCTTGCTTTGAGACATCGACTAGTTGAAATTTAATATGACTTGGAAAGTAAAACATGCTAATCAGTTTGGAATGGAATGATTCACAAACATTGATTGTACGCAATGTAAAATTAGAAAATTCGATCCAAATATATTATTTTCGTCGTTGATATATACGGCACGCAATTCGGACGAACCGAAAATTTTAATATTTGTATTAATGTTTTCCTTGAACTATCGATTGTTGTAAATCAACAATCGTGTAGGTAATAGTTGATTAACAGTTGTCACTCGGCAGATAATATATAGGTGTATTATGGTACCAATCGTTAGTGTATACAGTCGTCAAATTTTGTTCTAAGTCAGCAAAATTCACTCCAAACCCCCCTAAAAATAAACTCTAGGATTACCCCTAAGGGTATTGCCGCTACGGTTCTGTGATGTATCTAATTTTAGCACCCCCAAGGTTGGTGGTTTAATTGCGCAATTGCGCCCATGATTGCCCAACCCCCTCAGAAATTGTTTTCTGGCTACGGTAGATGCCAACATTTTCAAATACATTCATGTGTCCCAAACTCTTAAGCAGGGGCATCATTTCACATTTTTTCATGGGATGTAAAATTTATCTATAATGAAAATCACAAATTAAGATATATAGGATATTGAACGGAAAGATCTTATAAATGTTTTTTGAGTCCGCGGTTTTTACTGTTTGGCGAGACAGCTAACACTTTTAAGATAAAATTGATGTATACAAATCAGCTAAAATCAGTTTAAAGTTTAGGCTGATTGAATAACGTGTGTAATAAATTGCATCTATTCTATCCCGGTTTTATAGACTTCTATAATAAATATTGACATAGTTTGTAAAAAGTACACTAGATGGTGTTAGTAGCCTTGCCAAAAAATGAGAAGGTCCGAGCTTCACTTATCACACGTTTATTCGGTATTCTGTATATCTTAATTCGTGGTCAGTAGTTACTATTAACTACAAGTTTTCATCGTTTTGAATGTAATTTGAATTTTATTTGAAGGGAACTTAAATTATAACTAACTTCTTTAAATTGTACCTTATCTATTTGCATATTATATACTAACATGACATCGGAATATTAGATAATAATTTTTCAGTTTATTACAATAAAACATGGATTTGTTAATTTCTGAAATGGAAAAGCTGTTAGCATCTGGTAGAGAAAATTGTGATTTTCAAGAAATTATTGGTAATAATATAATAATATAATAATTTTTTTTTTTTTTGTTAACAGCCCAGATATTGGTTGGCAGTATTACTCCAGTTTTAACGCTTCTCTGCTTTCTGCTTTAGTTTTTAGTATGTTTCACACCCTAGATCCTTGACTAATTGGCTTATGTATTCGAGAGGTGGTCTTCCTCAGCGATTCATCCTTTTAATAATAATAAAATCATTAAGAGGACGTTATACCCGCATCTATTGTCTCAATTAAACTATCAGGTAACATGTAAAAACAATGCTTATGCATAATAAGTAATACTAGCTTAATTTTGATTTTAGAGTAAATGTACCTATTATTAAATTTATAGGGAATTTTAGAGGGAATATCTTAGGGTTTTTGTAATATTAAAACTATACAACTAAATACTAATGAAAAAAACATTTTTTTTTTTGTTCTTAAATAACTGTAACTTATTTAATTGTTCATAGTTCAAAAAATACCTGTGACATTCCTTCCAAAATATTGTTCTTTATACAATTTATAATAAGTACTTTTACTCTAAAATCAAAATTATGCTAGTTTTCCTTATTCTGTTTAAGCATTGTTTTTCCATGTTACCTATCCAATAGTTGGACTGAGATAGTAGGTGCAGGTATAACATCCTTTTAATATATTTAAAAACCATTATATTGATATAAATCAAAAATAATACATGATAGGCCATGAGATTGTTATTCTAATTTATTATATTCTGAGCTTAGTGAGTGATCTATTGGTTTTACTGTGATGTTCCGTTTACTATGATGTGTATTTTTTTTTCTGTCTGTGAACAACTTTTCTATCAGAATATTTGCTCCAAGTATAAACTATAGCACATTTTCTGAAAGGTAATTATCCTTTTTTGGTGTATTAGGGAAATTATTTTTTGATTTTCCAAATGGTTTTTGAAATAATTGGGAAATACTAGAAAGAATTATAGGCAAAATGACAAATATTTATGGCGCGACTTGGCATTACTGTTTTAATTGATTTTATTATGTTAACACATGATGTTTTCAACCATAAATATTGCTCCAATAGATAAACGGCAAGAGACCCTTTTTGTTGAATTTTTAGTTTAGTTAGTGACCAAGAAAGGTGTTTTTTTAAAAATTTTTTGTAGTTTTTAAATAATTTTTAAAACTGAAAAATGACATGAAAATTTACATAATTATTTCTATTATTATTTTTAATTTTGTTTTTGTAATGTAATTCAGTTAAAAATATTTGTTGAGACTTAAAATTTTGACAGGAGATTTATATATGCTATTTCTAGATGTGGTAAAACTTTCGAAACATTTGAGCTATTTATAGACATTTTAATTTTGCTAGTTTTTCGCATAATTTTTTTTGGTAGGTACTCTGTAGATAAATTTTTAGACTTAATAGAAATACTTAAAAATTTGATAGGACGTTCATTATAAGGCGTAATTAGCTGTAAAAAAATAAATATTAGTTCAATGTAATATTTTTATTTTTTTTTTATAAAAGTTAAAATCAAATTTTGATGAAAAACGTATATAAATATAATTTATCATTGAATTAGGTATAAATTAAATAACTATTAATGCCACCTTCTCTAATACCCACCTACAACAGTGGTGCATCTGTCCCCAGTATCAGCTCTTTTTTGTTAATTTAATTTTTTGATTACTTTAGGAGAATCTGCGGGAAAAAATATTGATGATTTGTTGATTGAAGCTGACAAATTGATTAGTGAAACACTTCCATATTTCCAAACCAATACAAATACAAATACAGCATTAAATGATTTTAGTAATACAAAAATTAATTCAATGACTAAAACAGCACAACTTAAAAACCAACAAAATGAAACAAAAAAAGTAGTTTTTAATTTGAAAACTAATACTCAGAGTACTAAAATTCCAGAGAAATCTTCTAAAACATCTGAAAATAATGGTTTGTATTGAAATAATAAATCTATATATTTTAAATTAGCTTAAGTCAGTTCAGGTATTGTAGAAGTTGTAGTTAAAAATATTTTTTTTGTATGGTATATCAATAGTAAATTAAACATTTTTTTTAATTAATAAATATGTACTTTATTTATAGGAAACTTTGCTACAAATAAATATATTATAGATAAGGAAAGCAAAAAACATAACACATGTTCATCGTCATTAAAGAATTGTATGAAACCTAAGTTTAAGGTATGTTAATGATTTTATGTACTAATTATTATTATTTAATGAACTTATTTCGCTAGCCAGTGTTGAGACTGCTATATAAGCTTCTTTTCCAGTTGATAAAATCTCTGATGGTGGTAAAATAAATCCATATTTGCCTGTATCCCTCAATTCTACAGTGTAAGAATACTTTATTTTTGCAACTCCTTTAGCCCAATCATCAGATGCTCCTAAAGTGATAATAAAAAATATTGAGTTTATAAAAGATGTGTAATAATACTTATAAATATAATATAGGTACCAGCTGCTGGATATAATAGTGTTGCACTATTTCCGACAGTATACTCTCTTGTTGTAACTTTTTTAATAGCTGTGGCCATAGCCTGACCTACACGTTGTACTTCTGTATGATCAGATGGTACTCGTTTGGCATAGCCCCATGGATATAAGATATACTGTCCATAACTGTGAAAGGTCAGGAATCCCTAAAAATATTAATTTTGTATATAAGAGTCATTATATAATACTACTCAACAATGATAACTGTACTACTTACTTTATAAATGTTATTATTTTTCATGATATATTTAACCACTGCTTGGGTCTCTGGTTCTGAATTAGCTTTTATACCTCTATAAATTTCCGCACATGAATATTTGCTAGCACCACTTTCTCCCCAGTGATAATCCCAGTTACGATTTAGATCTGTGCCTACACATGAATTCGCTGTGGGTTTATTACGATTTTTACGCCATAAGCGTTCTTTTTCATGTGAATGTTTGTATCTAGTTATGAACAATGATTTTATTTTATAGAAAGTATGCTATCATAAATTTAGAAATATTTATACTCACCCATCAGGATTCACTATTGGTAGTATATGAAATTCAATATTCTTCATATGAGTTTCTAACGTGTCTCTATTGTATATTAATTCGTTGATTAAATATAATACCGATGAGACTGCAATCCATTCTCGTGCATGTATTCCTCCATCAACCCATATAGATTTTATATTAGTTGCATTTTGATCTGGCTTAATTCGTATTACTCTCAATGGAACGCCTTCATATGATTTACCAATGGTTTCAACTTCTACAAAATCTGGATATTCTTGAGATATGTAATCAACATATTTATATATGTCATTTATTTTATGGTAACGTTCAAATGTCAAGTTGTGACCTAAAATCATTAAATTTATGTTATAATTTATTTCCTTTGTTTAAAAAAAAAAAAAAAAAAAAAAAAAAATGTATTTTCATAAAATTTAAATCATTTGTGTTAAACAAATAATGTTAACCTTGTCTTCCAGATAATTCTAATTCATCTTCGTTTACTGGAGGATTTTCTTCATTGATGGCTCGTTGTATGTCATCAATAAATATGTCAAATGATAGTGATCCATTGTTCAGTGCATTTTTTACAATTTCCGAGTTGCCTTTTTTTACCATTATATCTACTGACGTAGAATTGGTAAACCATTTTTCAATTACTAAAAAAATAATTTTATAACTTATTATTCTGATTAATGAAAAAACAATGTTTACTTACATCCTTGATTTTCAAGTTCCTTAATTGTTTTCCTTTGTTTAGAGTTCACCGTTTCCACCCTTAAAACTTGGTCACCATTATAAGTTATTTTTTCTTCAACATTTCCATGGTGACCATTATTCTGTGAAGATGTGATAGTTATTGATAGAATTAAGAGTGTGAATACACAATAGAGTACTTTAAAACAACCGACCATTTTGAACAACTAAATGAGTATAAACTAAATTAATTCTTGACCACAGGGAACTCTTTAATGTAAACTGAAACCGGTACTGTGCTATGATCCTAATCTAAGCCACACCTATTTGATGTTTTATTAATACAACTGCAGTGAAGTGGTTATTGGACAAATTTTCTCCCTACTGACCGAAATATGAATAGAGGATCTTTTTGTTGTAATCTATACTTCGTTATTGAATTTTAATTACTAAAATATAAAACATTGTTTCTAATATCTACAATAGATCTTTTCATACTAACAGTTATTTAATACAAATTGAATTTGTTATCTTGAATTTTAGTTTATTAAAAATAATAGCTTTTGTTAATTTTAAAAACATAAAATGAAAGGTGAAATTTATTTCATATATGATTTTTAATTTTTAACAACTTTAAGGGACATTTAATTAAAAATAAATGGTTCATATTTTATGGGAATGTTTGATTATTTTAAATTTGTATGTCTACTAATAAAAAAAGTTTCAATATTTTACATGTAATTAAAAATATGATTTAATTAAAATATTAAATTATTAATAATCTTTAAATCCAACTGTACTCTTGTTATTTTTTTATTCTATATAAGTACATAATCTAATTGGATATATGACAACTAATTTTGTTTAAAATTATTGATTTTTGCTATGAGAAAAATGATAAAACATAATATATTGACAGTTGAATATGTCAATAACCCCTATAACCAGTTAATAAACCACATTCCAAGAAACCAGCTGACCACCGGACATACTAGTAATTTATTGATTTGTTGTATAGGAGGGACATACCATCTGTATACTATAATATATAATATATATAATGTATTCATTTTTTATGTAGGTCATTACTATTCAAGTTGAAGTGCAATTTTTAATTTTGAGGTTGAATATAACTGCTACATACACAAATTCGACAATTTAACAATTATTTTAGTGTACTTGCATAGAAATTATAAAAAGTAAATATAGTCTTTAATTTTGTTTTCGTATTTGACTAGTCACTAGATTCAAAAAGAAAATATATTTAGGTTATAATATATAGGTTACCTATGAATATTGGCTACATACAGATTTCATACCTTTCCCATAAAGTATATGAATATTTTAACAAAAATTGTTTTATTTTTATGTTAAAATATATTAATTCTACATATTTAACTACATATAGGTTCTATTACATAGTAAACATATGAACCTATTTGAAAATGTAGTTGTACCATGATGACCAATACAAGCTAAATGCCTTGTATGTCTTTTTTGTTATTTGGCTGTCCCATGTAATATTTTAAGTATTAAATAAAGTTCGAAAAAAAAATGTAAAATAATGCTTATGAAACTATGAAATGAAAAATAATTACAAAATGTTTTTAATTATTCTATTTATATTTATACAAAATTGAACATATATTAAATTATTTGTTTTAGGTTCCTGAAGTTAATTTAATCAAGACCCAATTCCAAGTACCAATCCAAGTTAATTCGACTTTGTTGGATAATCATAATCAATTAAAAATTATGTGTAACAGACATAATAAATTATCAAATAATATAAAAACACAAGCCCGGGTTGGTAAATTAAAAATGGAAGAAGAATTAAACTACTATAAAGTAAAATATTTATATTGATATAATTATAATTTATGACCCAAACTCGTTTTTCAATTTTTTTTTTTTTTTTGACAATGTAAGTTTTTGTGTATGTATTAGAAATCTAAAAAAAGTCCTGTGAACTTTGTTTAAAAGTTATGGATGAAAACTTCATGAAAATCGGTTTTTTCGTTTCGCATTTTTCCTAGTTAGAATTTAAAATTTTCAATTTTATGTTTTTTCTAAAATGTGTGTTTTTAAATGCTTAATCCGTTAGTATAATCAAAACTTAACTATCATTCTTACTTTTATAGATTTTTTAAATAAATCTTGAAAAATGGCATTTTTGGATTAATCCAAAATGTGGTAAAAAATACGATATTTTTGTTTATTATTATTATTTACAGTTATTGATAATTTTGATAATAAAATTTTTTTTATTGAAATCTGAATAAGTCTAGCCGGCTTAGTTTTAGTATTATAAATGTCTGAGTGAGCGCAGCGAACAAAGGACGACCTTGAGTCCACCTATAATGCTTTTTCACTTTATCCTGTTACCTACCTTACATGGTTTTGAATTACAAATCTAGGGTTATTTTTGATTAAAATTGTTTGGGTTAGCGCAAGGAAACTCAGAGCGTTTGAATGTTTATAATTCTAAAACTTCAAGAAGTTTTCCTCCATAACTTCCAAACCAAGGTTGTCAGATTTTTTTTCTTTAGATTCTTAATGTATTTGCCAAAACACACATTTGGAATAAAAAAGAATTGAAAAATGAGTTTGGACTGTAACCTAGATTTATTCCTTTATTTTTGTATATAATTTATTTATGTATTTCATTAAATCTTTTTCAGTTGAAAAATAATGAACTTGAAAAAAATCTTATGTTTAAAGAACAAGAAATTCGTGATTGGGAAAATCGGTACCATCAATTAAGTCAATATTGTGAATCGTTTTTAAAAAAAAATGTATGTAGGTACATGAATAATTTATTTTATTTTAAGTCAAAAAAACGGGTTTAATGCTTTGTAAAAAGTTTATTATACATTTTAATAAATTATATGACCTAAAAAAATGAATTTTGTTGTGCTCAATTTTTTTTCAATGTACTTTAAATTTTAAATATGTTTGAAGTAGGTTAAATGTAAATATTCTTTTATAAAATAGTTTAGCCACACAATAATATTTTTCCTTGATTTTTAAATTTGTATTTTATTTTTTCATTTGTCCATTAAAAGAACTAATGATAAGTTATCTAATTATATTATAATAAGTTTAATGCACTTTTAACTGTTTTTTTATTTTTGTTCATTAACAGAAATTTAGATAATTTAAAATAGATTTATAAGGTATTAAACTAATTTAAAAAAAAACATACTATTTTGAAAAATGAATTATTTCTTTTTTATTATTTAGGTTGAAGAGACGTTAAAGCATTATGATTATCAATTAAATGATCTAATTGAACGCAATTTGACTAGAGAATCACAATTGCATGCAATAATTATTGACCTTCTCAAAGAAATTGATCAATCACATTTACAATACAGAATAAAATTTTCAGAAAAAAATAAAGAGATACGTAAATATCTTGATCAAATAGAAAGAATACTCGATAACATTTATGAATTTCGAAATAACAATGTTGTCAGATAGTACATACTGAAGTGTACAGTGCAATAAAGTGACATTAACATTTACATTCATTTGAAAAGTACATTTAATTGTTTTTGCGCACAACTTTATGAACTCATACAAATATGGAGTACAAATCAAGTAAGAAATTACATTTTTATAATTGGAAATATTATTTAACATTAAGAAGTCCTTAATAAGTTATTATAAGAGGTATTTATTTGAACATATACATAAGCCTATATGAAACTAATTATTTAATTATTTTGTATGAAAAGTGATATGAATAATTTTGAAGGATTAGTATAAAATTTAGAGAAAAGGTTTAAAAATTATTTTGAATGTCACTGTTATATCAACTCAATGTCACTCATAACTGTTTACATAATATGGTATATTAGTAGTTAAATTAACTTGTATAAATAAAAACACAATATAAATTGCTGAAGAAATAATTAAATTGTATATTTTATTATTACATTTGTATTAACTAACACATATTTTAAGATGTAATTCTAATTACTTAGTATTTTTATTGTGCTTTCCAAAGTAGTATAGGCCCAGTACCCCAATGGCTGATTGAACAAAGTTGGAAAACGGCCTAAAATAATTATTTATTAAGTTAATGACATAAATAATGTGTGTACTATAGTATCAACAATAATTTACCATTCAGTTGAAGTCTCTTTGTCATTGACAGCAACCATATCATTCTGTAGAAATATTATTAAGTAGTTAATTATTAATTGATTTTATAGTGTAATAAAATAATTAAGTACCTCTCTGTTATTTGTTGTCCTCCTCGCATTGATGTTATCTCTGGATGTTTGTCGTTCATATCTACCATCTCTCACTTCACGTCTAAAAGTTCTCTCGTCTGAACGATATTTCAAAAACCTCTTGTCATTTCGTTCAATTCCTCTGAAGTCAATGTCTCTCTCTCTTGCATTTCGAACATGTTCACGGCGTATGTTAGGTAATGATGTTGATCTTGTCAATCTGACCTTTCTAGTATCGTCAACTCTTAACCAAAGCCTGCGTTCTTGCTCTTTACCATCCACACGAACTTTGCGGCTCTCAGATCTAATATTCAAATTTCTAGTCCTGTACGTATCTCGAATGTAGTAGTTGTTTAAAGGAGTAAATTTGCATTGATCTGTATCGTTTGAAATTGTCACAAGCTCCTGAGATGGTTTTCTGTAACCATTTCTATAAAGGAAATAAAAAGTTATAATTTTAACACCATGAAAATTTCTTCAAAAAAAAATAAACGTCAGATAATAATTGTGTTTTGATTTAAAAAAAAATTTCAAAATGTATAGGTTTACTTTGCATCGATTGAAGCATATTTTTCATATGATCACTTTATTTTATTACTTACCATTGAAAATTCATAAAGTGCTCTGATTGATACAAAGTAAACTTGTTTATAAATTCAAGCATATTTTTTTTTTTCGAAATCGAACTACTGTAAATATTAACATTTTTGTCAGGCATATAGCTACTTTACATTTATTAATATTGTATCCCTTTTCCTTAAATGTGTACTGGATAGTATATTTGTATATCAATTTTTTCATTGAAAGATAAAATATAATTTTCAAATTCTACAAAATTGGAGAAAATTTGGGAAACCGTTTCTTAATCCTTTAATAATCAAAAAAATATATATGTCATTAAGAGTGGAAAGATTATAGAATCCTAATAATATCACACAAACTCTTTAAACTATTTTATTTGTTTTTCTGAATGAAATTAAAATATTTGTTATTAAATTTACCTAATGCAAAATACTTTGGTAAAACATTTAGTTAAATATAAAAATCAAAATACTATTGAATATATAATCAAATTCAATACAATATCAGTTTAGATTAATGTAAACATTAAAATTGTTCAGAAAAAAAAAATGTATGTTTAAAAAAAACCAAAAAGGATTAATACTAAATTTAAATTTATACATGATATTATGGTTTTATTTTTACAGATGAACAAGCTGGTATATTTAAACAATAGCCAGTTAAAATATGGTACTATACTGTTTTAAGACTACAATTGTTTTTACTGAACGGCTAAAATTGGTTATCAATTTAAAAATGATTTGAATATAAAAATTTACTTACAAATTGTTTTCAAAAATTGTGCACACGTTTGCATTCGAATGTGCAAGAGCCAAGAAGAATACAACTCCGAGTGTGACCGATAGAATGCTTAAAAAAAAAAAACAATTTTATCAATAGCATATTTTTAAAGATGAATGGAAAATAGAACATTGACAGACATGAAACTAAACATAGTTACATATAATAATAGTAAAATAATTAAACTAAAAACAAAATAAGTAGGTATATATTCTGAACCATATCGGGTCTCAAACTTACATTTTGTTCATCTTGTGCCTACTGTTTACTGTGCGATTCAGAAGTCACAATGCACTCGTGGTCCAGAACCCAGGTTTTTATATCAACATTCTTGATATGAATTTCCTGAGCTGTATGATATATTTTCCGACCCAGTGGTCTGTAATTGTATTTAAATATTACCAATTTATTTTCAAACTTATCTGAGAGAAACATGAATGCACCACCATTGTATCGATGATCTTTAATATAATATAATATGTTTGAGCTTGTGTTTTATGTGGACAGTTTTTCTCTATAAACCATTAAACTTGAACAATACTTTTAAGGGACACTGTGCGTATGGAGATAACAGGTAGGTATCCAAGTTCATATTATAATATTGTATTAAAAAGCGCGCTTGGACGGACTAATTTGAAATTTGATTAATTCTCTAAAGACTTACCTAGGTACTATATTGTCCTGGTACAGTTCGATACACACAGACGATTATTTACATGATAATAGTAATTTTTCAGTGTATTCTACACGATTTATAACAATTTTTCACTTTGCGCACACAGTGCAATTTATCTAAGCATTTACCATATTATTTATTTATTTACTGCTCACCAATATATTTTATATTTGTTTTGAGAAAAACTAAAAGTAAATGTACATTTACAAATTAGTTATTTTTAATGTGTAATTTTGATATTATTTTTTTAAAATTAATTTATATGTACATCTTATTACTTATAATTATACATATTAGTTAACTTGCCTAATTTTTTATATCATAATATAATATTTTTATTTTTGTCATTGATTTTTGGCGATGTAATATTTGAATATCCACATGAAAACGTTTTTTTAATTAATTTTATACAAAATAAGAATATTCTTACCATACTTTACTAAGAAATGATTAAACAATATTTATGTATTAAATAAGTATCCATTCATTTTGTCAACAATACAATTTATTGTTAATTGGGTTTTCGTCAATAATATTATTGTTGACTGTTGAAAATTAAAAATACGATGGTTTCTTAGTCATTTACTATACTAATCATAATAAATTGATCTAGTAATATATGCCTATTTTGTTTGTGAACATGTAGCATAGGTAAATATATTTTAGTCTTTTATCTTATTTTTTTATTTTTAATGGGTCTGCGTTATCTTTTTATTTTATAGTAGCATCCCAACTAAATTGTATTTGAATGGCCAAATAAACAGAACGGAAAAATATTGACAGTTCAATAAACTTGTTGTTTTATTGTGAATCCAGTGATTTTTCGACAGATTTTAAATACCTATCTATTTTTGATTTCAGTTTTTTTCAATCATTATGGAATTTGTTTTAGAAGACTCTCAATCTAACTATAGTTATTGCCCGTTATAATGTATAACATATCAAAAACGTACTAATACACACTAAGTAAGATTTTCCTAATTTTGGTTTTAGAATAAAAGCATTTACTTAGGTAGATATTATACATAGGGGTAAGACAATGTGATTTTTCCATTATTTCAACTATAATGTTTAAAAATAACATGTATTTCAACATTGTAAATGTTATCAACATTTCAAAAATACCCCATTTTCTTGTCAAAAATCCATTCGTTCTACAATTAAGTGTGGATAGGCTCGGAAATTTTTACCGAACAAATATGCATTCCCAGGTGACTTTAATTTTTAAACACTCTTGATCATATTCAGTGACATAAATGGATAGAAATCTAGAGGAGGGGTGCAAATAGTTCAAAATCATATTAAAAATCCTGAGCCCCCTAGTTTAAATATATTTTGGTTTTATAATGATGTTTATTTTTTTAGATTCTGATGTAGTGAAAAATGTATTAATCTTGCAAAGAAATTTTTTTTTTTTACTGTGGCAACAATTTTTGATTTTCTAGGTGGTTTTCATAATACCTGGGAAAAATTGAGATAAAACTGAAGAACCGTGTCAAAAAGAACAAAATTGGTCTCCTGTTATTTTTCGATTAGAAAATATTTCTAATGGAAAACATAAGTTGAATACATATTAAAATAATGAAACTGGAACTGCTAGTTCCATTTAAAACATATCTCTGACTTCCGCTGTGTTCAAAAATGATCCAATATTATTTGCGTTAGATATATTGTCGATTAAATCAAAATCCAATGCTGGCTGATAGAATAGGCATTTAAATTGAAATTATTTCTATAGGCTATATTATAGATAATATTGAGCTCGTGTTGATAATTATATTAAATGGAATACGTTCAATCCTATAAAATATAGAATCTGTCCTAAGCAACACATAGCTCCTACAAACCTACGGTGTAGACCGTGCTATTAAAGGAATGGAGAAAATGCAATTAACTACATAAGTTAAGTTGCAATATTTGTTGAATAAGTTTTCATTGCTTTTTATGGAACAATACAATTTTATGATGGGCAGTATTAATTTTCCATTGAATTTTAAATTATCTAACTAAAGTTAGGTAAACTATGTAAAAAATCCCCCCCCCCGTATATACTGCACATAAGTGAAATATATTGAAACCAACATGTGCGAGAAAGGCAGACTTGTAGTTGACTTTTTTTGAGGTTATATAGATAGGCTAACTGCTACTATAAAATAGTTATGCCTGCGATTGTTATTAATTTGATAAAACTTAAAATATAATATATATTATTATGTCTTAATTAAATCATTAAAACCTAGGTATGTCTAGTAAATAAGGTAACTGTGTCGTTTATTCCAAGTAAGCAGGTACTGATAAAAATCGTTTATTTTACGAGTGATATATACCGTTTTCTGTCTGCTAACTTCAAAATACCTATCATAGATCAGCTGTGCAAAATATTATTGTAAATTAAAGTAAACGCAATGAGTATTCTATAAATTGATTATTAATTTAAACCAAATTTTACTAAATTTACTTGAACAACAATATTAGATAGTTTTAAAATACCATGTAAAAAAAACAAGTTTTAACTATTGACCAACTTAATGTTTTTAATTGAAAATAATGTGACTTGTTTGTATATAAAAACTATTTCTTTCTGTCAGTCACTATCACATTTTATAAGCACAAATTACACAGTTATGCATTTTTATTTTTAAGAATTAAGTTAAAATGAAATTGAGATAAACTTTAAAACAAAATTTGAATCAAATAAATTATGTCAGTAGTCACTAACGTATTATCATTTATTACATCCATATAATATATTGTACCATACGCTATATTTTTTGCATAAGAAGTAGCAAGCCTGCAATGTATACTCTAACTGGGCTTTAACTAATGCTATAGGCAAGATACAGACCGTCTTCTCTATATAACTGTATGCACAAAGTACACTGCCATTTGGTGTCATCTACTATATTACGCATATCTATATTTCCTTTATTTTTTGTATATTTAAATCCTATTGTATTAAAGTTTCGTTTTTAAAGTGGACCACCGGGTGCGCTAATAGTCAGGGTATTTTTGATAAGAACATTTTACAACTACTAAATGTAATGAATCAATATAGTTCGGCAAATAGTATAATCGGTATCTTTAATAATGCGTTTAAAGTTTTAACTATAAAATGAAAAACGTTATTTAACTTAACTTTCCATTGAAGTTTTACTAGTGTTAGACATCGTTTATTAAAGTAAGTAATTTGTATAAATAACAATGAGTATAGATGTCGTTAAAATCGGCCGGCAGGCCAGCAGCAGTTACAGCAACACAGCAGTTCCTGAGCGGAAACACAGTATTGATGCGATTGCACTACTCAGCCAGTGCCAAGATAAAGTAATGACGACGACTGTAGGTATTTGGTAATAATATTTACAAATAGATTAATAATATTTAGTCACCTGTCAAGTATTATATATATAAATGTATAAGACTTTTCCAGGAGAAACTATCATTAAGATCCATAGATTTTCAATTTCCATTACCTATAAAACACGGAATTGATTTTATCCAAATATTAAATTGATTCCAGGCAAGGGCGTAGATATAAATTTTAGGGAAGGAAAGGGTTCACACTTTCAATTATTTGTGATTAGCTGAAAAAAAAAATTGTTTGCAATGGGGGAGGGGGGTGTTGAATCGTACAAACCACTCTCTTAGGTACCTTTGTGATCGAGATTAAAACTGATAATATACTTTTGGGGCCAATAACGTTTTACACCACTAGACACGTTAAATGCATAAACAGAATTATAGGCTGGGGTATTTACTGACTTCTGACGAAGTAAGTTTGAAAATAGAGGTACCTATTTAGATACATAATTGATTTAAAGACAATTTATCCACGTGGATAACAATAAAAGAAATACCAGGATGGGGGTAGGGTTTAAAACTAAAATTAAACGCAATCGAAATTCCAGAATGGTCAAAAGGAACGTAAATCACAATCGAAATCTCGCGAGCCGCAATAGACATACTCGAGTTTTCGTTTACCTGATTTTGGAACTCAATTGAATGTCTCTGACCACTGCTATATTTTAGTATCGATTAACCGATTATTTTACGACAATCAATTATCAAACATTTGAAATGACTACCGCACAGGCCTAATGGATAGTAATATTTTATGGCCGTTAATTAATATTTTTAGAATTAAATCCAAAAGTACTGAAAATATTGTATATTTTGAATTTTAAACAAAGTATAGACTTAAAAAAAATAAATTATACAGATATTTCAGGTAGGTTAAACTCTGCAAGAATTAAGCCTTTGAGCCCTTGAGTTTAGAAGTCTTTTTTTTTTAAGCTCATTAAGATAGTAAATTCCTGAAAAACCAATCACACATGATTCTCTTACGTAGATGGCTAAGTCTTCTAACGAAAAATATAAGGGTCGATAAACTCAAACCTGTACACAACAGAAATAAATTGTACCATTGCTATCTGATGTGATGACAGCAATAACAAAATTAAACGAGAGATTGGACAGGCTTGAAAACAACCAATCGAAAACTAAGCAAAAAAGAAATGAATCAGAACATGAAATTCGAATGGGTTTATAAAATGAAACAAAAACTTGACTATCTTATGAAAAATTAACAAATTGATATAGCTCTAATTTCAGAAATTCATTGTACAGCGTGAACCAATCTGACGTTGCATGGCTAACGAATATATACAACAGAACATCAATACAACCGCGTTCATGTAAGAACTGTAAAAGAATCAATTAAGTACTACGAATTTGACAAACATCCTCAAGAATATTTACAAACGACAAGTGTCCCGTATTAATGACTGCAACAGTGACCATATTATGTTTGTTATATATTGTCCACCACGATATAAAGTATATGATAACAAATTATTGAATTCTTACATAATTTGGTAGTAAATTTATTGCTGGATTGACACCAAATACATTTTCTGTGGATCAAGATTGATCATCACCGAAGGGGTGATTTGTTCAAATCTTCAAATAAAATTAAAGCACATATTTTCATTCTAATTAGAAAACCAACTTATTGGCTAACTGACCCAAATAAATTATTTGATCTTATTGACTTCTAAGTAATAAAAGAGATTCCGTTGAATTATACAGACGCTGAAGGTCTAATAGAACTAACGTCGGAAAACATCCCTGTTCTTTTCTCATTAAGCTCTAACGTAATAGTGAAACATAAGAAAGTTTCAACAACTCAACTTCAACCAAACAAAAGAACAAATTGGGAGTTATTCAGAAATGCCCTCGAAGAAACCATAAGTCTATAACTCTTCCAACTCTACTGAGAACAAATAACTGAGATTAAAATTTCAGTAAAAA